ACTTACACAAAGATATAAACATAGGTTACACATAAAATAACATAATAGATATATAGCTACTACAGGCAAATAATATTAATTCGACTTATTAGACTTGGTCAGACTAGTGCGGACTAGAGAGACCAATACATGATGAACTGATGAAGCCGCTTGGATAAGAGGCGAAACGTCTTCCACAGACAAATACAAGTCCAGTTGCCTTCGATTTAATCTGAGAGAGAGACTTATTAGACAATTTGCCATTTTCAGTGATACAACATTTGGAGGGGTCCACAGTTTCTGTGGTTATTAAAATAAAAAAAATTAATCCAACATATAATCCATTAATCCTATTAGTATATTTTTTTCAAAAACCCACTGATACATTGCCTCAAAGACATTTAAAATGCTTAGTGTTTGATTGTTGGCTTTTTGTCATTTTGAATATTTCACAATGATCATATTCCAACATGTATATCTGGAATTTAACCAACTTTCCTTGACAGTTTATAATGAACAAGTTGGAGAGTATTAGGATTCCACAGATCACTGAAGGGTTCTTGATATTGTTCCTGGATATAATGATCCATAAATAATAGTTTCATAATTTAATTCCCTCTTGTCAATTAGCCACTTTTCATTTTTACGAGGGACACCAGAACGCACCATAAACACAACGCGGAGCGACGCCCAACTGACTTCAGATGAGATAAGAAAATATTGTCAAACACTTACCAAACAATGTAATTATGTATCAAGTCTAAAGAACTGCTCGATTCCATTTAACTGCTCTTACATTTAAATACCCAAACCAGTAAAAGCAGCTCTGACTATCACAATGTAGGATTTCTTTCTTAGACTGTACTCCTGAACTTTGCAGGAGGAGGAGGGTTTTTTTTTATACATTTGTGTAGTTGTGAACCTCTGGCATTATGTGTATCAGTCCAACTAAACAAGGTATTTCAGTTCCAAACGTAAGCAGACCCAGGTTAAATATTGTTTTGTACAAAATTATAGCCTTGTGTTTACATAACCTGAAAAAATATAGTTTACAACATACCATCGGCTTTCTTGGTGTAAAGAAAACAGACAAACAGAAACCCCTGCTTATGACCAGAAACTGGAGTTTGTGTTTGTTTTTGATAATTTCACAGTAGATCCTTTTAGGATTAAGGCTGCCATCTAGTGTCGGGAGTTAATGTGTGTATTTACTGTGTCCTCAAATGAGTTTGAATATGAAACTTGATAGTGTGAACTGCTTTTGTGTTTGAGAGGAGCTATACAAATAAACACGGCTTGTTTGCCTTAAATCATAGTATCTGCCACGTTACTGCAGCACCACGAGATGTGATGGGAAACCGACATATAAAAGGTCAAAAGTGCTTCCTACTTGTCTACTTTAGAGACATCAGCCTACAGTTTGTCCTATGCAGTTGTTCAAAACAAGTGACAACATTAACAGACTGAGTAGAAAAAATCTGTTTAATGTAATCAGCAACATTCAGATAACATATACAAAACATTAGACAACATTATTAAAAATGTTTTATCCACTGATTTGACTCGAGTAACACTTACCCCTTCCTTCTTTCCTCCTTGTAATGAAAGCATGTCAAATATAAAAATTGTTTTAAAAAAATTGTGGCTGGTCCGACTGAAACACGTACAAATGATGTGTGATTATTAATTAGTGGAGATTTGAAATTCTCCAAAATATTTCATCTGATGACTCTGATAGAAAAATCTCTTTAAAGCTAAAGAATCACTTTGTACACATATGTTTTGATAGGAGGATACAGCTAACTGGCTAGTACAGTTGCTGCTGAAAGAGGGAAAATCCCTTTGTTGAACAAATTGATAAAAAAAAAAAAAAGAAAAGATGCTTGGATTTGGTCTGGCACTAAAAAAAAAAAAAAACAGTTTGGATGGAAATCTAGTAATGTGGGGACTAAGTGCATGAGTTACGTTACAGCCTTCCTGCCTCCTTGAACTTGCTGAGCAGTCCGTCGTCTGCCCTCAGAGGGAAGTACAGTGTCCGGTTTTTGTAGTAGTCGGGGTCAGACTGGAGGTTCTGGATGACGTCTGAGAGGAGGTGGGCGCGCTCCACACTACAGCCTGGAGCCTCGTAGCCCAGCTTAGTGAAGTGGACGTGGAGGTGGTAGTAGGACGGCTGGTAGTGCAGGTAGACTCTCAGCTGACTGGCTGGGAGGTTGTAGCGCTGCAGGATGGCCTCCTAAGTCACAATGAAACAGGTATTATCAATCATTTTCTATTGTTTACCATCATGGATATCCCCAGGACTTCTCTACTTCAAAGTGCGAAGTCTTATCCTAGCTCTCTAAAATCATTACCAATTACGTCATATCACATAATTGGTTGTTGATGATGATTACGATGCTCACAGATCACTTCAATGGTGGCTGAGGGAAGATGAGGACTCTCCCAGACGGACCCAGGGATGACTATGACCTCACCTTTCCTTTCTGGAAGATGTTCTGCAGCAGTGGTGTATGCTCTGATGTCAGGTCTCTCAGACTCTTGATGTCCCTCTGATGTACTATGGCAATCAGGTACAGATCGTCGACCTGCAGGAGGAAGGCAGATATTGTAAAACTGTTTAGTCTAGTGGCCTAAGAATCTGAACATACAGATCCCAGTAACCCTCCTCTCTCTCATTTTCACTTTGCAGTGACAGTTACATTTAAAAGGAAAAGTTCAGAGTTTTGGATAGGTTCCATTATCGGTTTAAAAATTTCTCAAGTATTAAACTTCTAATGTGGTCAGATTTGGAGCCATATATTATTGCCACGTGACATTTTATCATGCTTTGTAACAACACAGACAGACAGAAGTAATATAAGGCAGCAGCACTAGTTAGCCTTTGTACAGGTATCTTCCAGTTAAGTTAAAAAAATATCTGTAAGTGGCAAGAGGAAGAAGAATGTTGTTCGGCTTCTACTGGGGTCAATATCCCTGGTTTCTCACCTGTTTTTGGTCCCATTTGAAATCAGGGAGGAGGACAAAGCCCACCTTCGGGTCCGGATCTTCGTAAACTATCCTATCAGCCTCTGCCTTCTTCTCCAGGATGTTGTACACCCACTGAAAGGTGAAAAGTTGTGACAAAAACACAGTTAATGCTGTACATTTAAAAGTGAATATTGTATGAGAGGAGGTGATTTCAGGACACTGACTTGCACGCTGAAACTCTGCTTCTGAATGTAGGGCAGGGTGATGGACTGATAGTCCTTCCCCGTCTCCTCTACCAGAAAAGAATCCTGACGCTGGTATTTCTTTACATGCTTCTCTGTGGCTGGACACACCACTGTGGTCTTAATCTCTGCAAAACAGAAACACAGATTATCTGATTTCCCTCTATCTGACCGAAGTGGCTGCTGGATTGACAGGATCTTTGGTCTGTTTATTTATTTAGGACCATACCATTGAGGTGAGGGGGAACCTGCAGGCGATATGTGCTGTAGATGTCGTTTTTCATCTCCAGCTTCAGCCTGGAACCACTGAAGATCTCAGGCAGGTTGTCTTCTCTGATGGGAGTCTTCTCCAGAATGACCACAGCATCCTGATCTGCCAACTTCAGATGACATGTTCAACAGTTTCATTTCTGTCTGTCTTTCCAAAAATAAAAAATGCACAACTGTCCTTTCGTAATCCTACCGTTGTGGTACTCATTTGTATGAAGTCAATCTTTACAATAGGGCACTATTACGCGGACTATTATTTTGAAATATCTAACCGGAAGAGAATATTATATTTTTCTTTTACAAATCTACTCACTCCACTTTGAATGCGTATAACAATAAAACATTTCCCTCTTCTCCCTCCCCTCACTATTAAATCCTTAACCACAGTTAGATTCAGCTAAATACCTTCCAACTGCAAAGTTAGCTAACTTTACCTTTCCATGGACAAAGATGTTCTTCTCCCGGGCAGAATCACGCAAGATGTTGGATGTTTTAAACCCGGACAGGATACTCTCTGACTCAGGCTCCTTTCCAGCTTCTCCTCGACCATTCTCATGGTCAGCCTTCGCCCGCTTGACTTTCTGAGATAATTCATCAGTTTCAATACTATCTGCTTCACGTTTAACCGCGTTGTCTGCCATGTTTCTGGAGCAGCGTTTATGAACAAAGATCGTCTATCTGTAGAAAGATGTCCCACTCAATGTCCGGCTCACTATGGGCCTGGTGCCTCGCGCATGCGTGTACAATATGAAAACAATTTCTCCATTGTAAATAAATTCTAATTCTAAGTAAAGATGCTCTCTTAATGATAACCTTAATGTTCCTCAACATAGAACCACTGATAATTTAACAATACCACAAACATTTATTTCTGAAAATGTACCAATTTCTACAGTAGGAAAGGTAAATACAGAGATCCTTCATTTCCTCTTCTTCCACTTCTTATTGCTCCTTTAATAATCATTCAGCTAGTGTTATTTAGGCACAATTAGGATTTATCTTACGAAACTTGCTGAAGCCAACTAAGTGAGGAGTGAGACTTCTTCTTAGCTTTCATCTCTCAGCTACAGCAGTGTTAAATAGCGACAATAAACCTCGTCAAATCTTTCAAAATAAAAGCTAATTAATAAAAATTAATTTACAGTTTCCTGTCTGCTCCTTTGTAGCAGGTGCAGCAATGCTTCCATGTCTCTCTTCAATAATAATATAGCGTGCTTATGCTTATTGACCTATTGTGCAAATTGAGGGAGTGTACTCCCGGCAGCACAGGATGTTATAACATTTACTGAAACACTGTGCTCTAGGCAAAGGTACCAGGAACCACACACAATAGGTCAGTACACCTAGTTTTCCAGTCCACTGCTCATTAACATTATCCATTAGACTGGCCACTGTCAGTTACTGGTATTAAAAATGATTGACACATCATTTAACTAATGTGATTACCGGTTTGGGGCGGAGCGACGGTTAAAGGGACGAATGAAAACACAGTAGTCTAGCGACGTGATAATCAGGAAGTTATTTAAAGACCTCAACGACACGCTGATTTGTTTTGACACCGGACAGAGGGAAGAGGACAGGAGCTGTGGAGAGATAGCTGAAAGACACGGCGTCTTCAGTTGTTTACCTGAAACTAAAATGTGCACATGTGTCCGACTATGGCTTCTCCTCCTGGTTCTTCACAGACTGACCCTCGCTGCTGGCGCGAGAAGAGGTAGAGTTTGTACTGTGCAAAACTTTTGAAAATGTTTTAAAATGTGGAGGCTTAGACTTCCTTACACATTTCACACTGGTTGTAATGTTAACTTGTTGACTTGTAGAGTCAGGCTGCCAGGTTTGAGAGGAGTAAATCTCAGTAACTCGCTGAAATTAGCGTTAATGAGTGCTCATTATTCTGTTTGTTTAGAGGCTGTAGCTAGAGTTCCCTGGCGTAAATTAATTTAACTTAATCACTGAAGGGCCCATTGTTTGTGAGTTTTACTTTTTTGTGTTGGGATTTTGATTAGTTGAAGTGAAACTTATTTGTTTCTGTTCCTCTTTTTTGTGGTATTTGTTTCCCAGTGTCACTCAACCTTACATTTAGTATTCATTGGGCTTGTTGTTGCTGTTCTTGAATGTTTAACAACTAGTTTTTAAAGTAATTATTCCACCCCCAGCAACTCGGAGACCGTGCCAGACCTCACTGTTGAAGAATTTCATTTAAAAGCAGTAACCCAGATAGCAAAATGAAACTTCTGTCCCAACATATGCCTGGGTCCTCCACCAGAGTCTGGCCCATTTATGTCTACATCTGGGCAGACTCTGGCTGTTGTCCTCCAGTGTTGTCTGACAGTGGCAAGATTTTCTGTTTGTGCCAGAATTGTACCAGATGTGGTATATACTGGGCCAGAAGTATGTGACCAAGTATGGGCTGGATTTATTTTGTTATCTGGGAAACCAGTGAAGCATATGAATTAACTGTGGTTGTTTGTTTTCAGAAAGGAGAAACGTCCTCTTCATCATGGCAGATGATTTGCGGACATCATTGGGCTGCTACGGAGACTCTGTGGTAAAATCACCAAACATTGACCAGCTGGCTTCCAAAAGCCAAGTTTTTCTAAATGCATATGCACAGGTCAGTTGGTGCTGGGTGCGTTTACTGTCTGAAACTCTCGAAGCAATTCAGTCTGTGTGGATGTGAGACTAACTGGATTATACAGCCTCAATGAAATCTTGGAATGTGTATTTTTCTCTCCCAGCAAGCTGTGTGTGCTCCCAGTCGTACATCCATGTTAACTAGTCGCAGACCAGATACAACCAGGCTCTATGACTTCAAATCCTACTGGAGAGTCCATTCTGGAAACTACACCACTATGCCACAGTACTTTAAATCTAGAGGATACTTCACCACGTCTGTGGGCAAGATATTTCACCCAGGTAAGACTAATAATATACATTTTTAATAAAAGTTGAGGGATAAAGCTCATATTTCACAAGTAGGGTTTGCTGCTGGCACAGCATAAAATGCCGAACGGTTGTCACTGAAAATGCAGTAAGAATCACAGATTTCTTCAGCTGGTTAATGATGAGCCTGATCTGCATTTGAGAAGAATCAAATCTGCATGGTTTTGTTGTTTGCTGAGAAAATGTCTTGACATGTTGTGTCTATAGTATTAACAACGGTTGTGTTGTATTTCCTTTGTTTAGGTATCGCCTCTAACCACTCCGATGACTACCCGTACAGCTGGTCCATCCCTGCCTACCACCCAGCTTCATTTCGATTTGAGAAACAAAAGGTATGACTAGGAAAGATTATCTCTCACATTCTCCCATTTATTTTTATTTATTTATTTATTTTTTATATAGAGTTGTATTGTGGGGCATTTTTGTCTTTATTCTGATAGTACAGTGAAAGATGGACAGGAAAGCTAGGGAGAGAAGAGGGGGGCAGAGGGCCGTGGGTCAGACTCGAGTCCATGGCTGCTGCAGTTAGGACTAAGCCTATGTGGTACTGCTCTACCAGCTGAGCCACGGAGGCGCCCCGCACTCTGCCATTATTAAGTCAGTTATGTGTCTGACTTAATACACATGAGTGCACCAAAGAGTGATGCAGGCCTATCAGGCAACCTGGCAACTGATGAGATGTGAAGTGCTCAAAAATGATTTCTTTATACATAATACCTAATACTACACAGGTATCTCAATTAGCATGACACACAAGATGTGTGGGGGAAAAAAAAGTTGCGTTTTCAGACTTTATTTATGTTTAAATTCAAAAGAGACATCTTCTAAACAGGAAGAACAACAATTATTTTTATTCAACAAAGCCTAACTTGGATTTTTTTACATTTCTGTAAGAAACCAAATTGCTTTTCAGTGCTTAACATCTCCCAAATATTTGCTGAATATAGGATCCTGCTGCGCTACTGAAAAAAGTTGTTATATATAATAGTTGTTCTTTTCAATGGTCATAACAAAACTCTAGAACTACTATCAGACCTATGCCATTATTTTCTAATGGAGAAAGTTATGATGTTGAAAATTGCTGTGGCTCTACTTTGGGTGTAGTGCATGTTACACCTTGAGTTTTACACATGATTTCACCACTCAGTCTCAATAAAAGCAATGAATCATATTTTCATTTTTGTGTTTTTCTTTAACACAGTAACAAAGGGTTAGGGTTAGGGTCATTTTTCTCAGCAGGGCTCTGTCAGGGTCAGTGTCTGAAGTAGGTCACTAGTCGCTGAAGGTCCAACATTGTAAGTAGCTCCTATGTGTTGAACACTTAGCCCTTTGAATCTCTGAATAAAAAGCTGTCAAATGTCTCAGCAGTGGTGTTACAGTCCTCATCAGCGGCTGAATCTTCAGCGCTGGTAATCTGTGTTTGAATATCCGAACACTTATTAGACTGTGGGAATCTAAGTCAGTTAGTAATAATCTTTCAGTTGCTGTGACCCTTGAGAACACTACAATGTGAAAGGGGTCATTTGTAGTGATGAACCCACAGAGAATTGTCATCAGAATCTGCATCACCCTTGGCTTTACGGAGCCTTACAGAAATTGTTCATCAGTCTGGTCTGTAAATTGTACTGTTTTGGGTCACTCTCAGAAAAAGATCTGGTAAACAAACTGTACACTATCTGTTCAGCATCGAATGACACACTGAAAAAAGTTGGGGACTAGCTGTTGAACTGAGTGGAGCATTTACCAGCTGAGTTGATAGCAAACTGAGGGCACCTGCCCTATATGCTGAGGTTAGATTTATTCAAGCTAATGATAGCTCAGCATGAGGGTGAGGGTTGAAACTTGGATGTGATGGACCAGTGAGCCCAGTCCTGGTACATGCATGCCACATGCTCTCATGCGCACCTCAGATGACAGGCACACAGAGAGGGCCGGTGAAAACTTTATGGATTTACTGACAACTCTGGAACAGGGTTAGTGTTAAGGATAGCAGGGAGAAGGGGCCAAAGAGTGCATTTCCTTGTTTGTCATGATAAGGGTGGAAACCCAAACTTTCTGATAATATGCTGCCCCCTATTTGTTTGGAGTACAAATTTGACAGTTGGCCCCTTCTTACACATTACTTCATTAAGATGATGATATATGTCAATGCTGTATTTAGAACATGTTTGTGCAACCGAATGGCCAGAATGTACAATACATCTACTACTTTTACTTTCTGCATGCCATGTTAGTGAATATACCAGTTAGTGACCATTAAACTTTTAAATCAGTTCTCTTTCTATAATTTTAAATTTGAATATATCTGAAAGATGTTCCCAAACCATCCTGCACTTTTCAGGTCTGAATAGAAATGGCTGCATAAACTCAAGATGAAATTCTATGTGCCATCAGTTTACGAGACCAACCAACAAACCTTGAAATGGAAATCTCAGTAGGAACTGTACATAAAAAAGTGACTTGATAATTTGTATGAAAACTTTGTTTCCAGATGTGTAAAGGAGAGGACGGTAAACTCCACGCCAACTTATTGTGTGCAGTGAATGTGACAGAGCAGCCTGGGGGAACCCTACCTGACCTGGAGACCACAGATGAGGCAGTGAGGTTACTGAAGAATTTGGCCAATGACGATGTTCCTTTCTTCTTAGCCGTGGGCTTTCACAAACCACACATACCCTTCAGGATACCACAGGTACATGACTCAATATCATCATGTGTAGACCCTCTGTACAATGTTCGTGACGTAACATACAAAATGGTTAAATCAACAAAGTTGTATTGTGAAAACCAGTATTGATATTGGCTGCAGATGGTCTTCATGTGTAGTTGTGATGTGCAGCTGCATGTGGTGAAGTGTTGGACTAACAGAAGGAAACCTCTGAAAGCTAGAAGTGAGATGTACACACTGTCTCTGAAGTGAATTAAATGAGAACTGATCTGGATATATGGCAGATGCAATTCAGCATGAAAGAGGAAGAGAGCATGATGAAGTGGAAGTTGAATGAGAGCAGAGAGTGACGGAGCAGAGACGAATGTCAGCGTGCCAGAGGGGTTTCCTACATAGTCTTGAGCTGAGAGATGAAAAGAGGGAAAAGGTCAAGCCAGCTCCTCTCTGTCAGCATGTGATGTATGCTACATGTGATTTACCTCACATTGTATGGACACACCCATAGAACAGTGCAAAGCTTAAAAAGATGCAGTTTCTGGAAGGGTAAAAATAAATCAAACTGAAACATCAGACGACATCTCACTTACTCGGAGGGCCAGAGGACTCTAATCTCCTTAGAAAGTCTATTTGAATTTTCAATAGTCATCTGTTATTTGCTGAATTATACCATAACATTTTAGGGAAATGGGCGATTTAAGTAATTTCCACAACAATATCTGGGCCAAAAAAGCTGGGTAAAGCTCTTCTTTCATCATGATGCAAATCCACCTGTTATTTGTATTGTGAATGCACGTATACCTGCCTTTATTTAACACCGCTTTTAAACGTGTTGCTTGTATATTTGCAGGAGTACCTGAGCTTGTATCCCATAGACCAAATGACCTTGGCCCCTGACCCTGACGTCCCTAAATCCCTTCCTCCTGTGGCCTACAACCCCTGGATGGATGTGAGAAAGAGAGACGATGTCCAAAAATTAAACATTAGCTTTCCTTATGGACCAATGCCGAAAGACTTCCAGGTATGAACTGACTGCTTTTAACTCTTTTAAGCCATTTGTAACACGTCTTATGTTTCTACTCCTTAAAACAAAGAGTTAAACATTAGTCTTCTGTACTATTGTCTTCCAGCTGCATGTCCGTCAGCACTACTATGCTGCTGTGTCATATATGGACGCTCAGGTTGGACGACTGCTCAGTGCTCTGGATGAGCTCGGGCTGGCTGACAGCACTATGGTGGTGTTCACCTCAGATCATGGTGAGTAGACACATGCTTTTGGATAAACGGGGAATGGCTGAGGATGATGTAGCGCTGGTGTTTGAGTTCAAGACATGATTGTTTATCTTTACAGTTTTTGGTAAAATGAATACCTCAAAAAATGTCCCTGTCTTGCACCACCAGATGGCAGTGTTGTAACAGCATATTGTGCCATTACCTCCCTCCACAATTTTGCTGTAAAAATCTCTTTTTCTGCACCACCTCCTTTTTATATAAAAAAACAAAAAAAAACTTTCACTTGGAAACTCAATTTCTTTTAATGTCTCCTTCAGTGGAGGATGCTGAAGTGAATCATCTTCATTACTGTTTGGTACATACCCAGTAAAGCTCAATCAAATACCATAATTTTCAAATATAAGATGACAGAGGAAAAACATCAGTAGAATAGATTACCTAAAACCTCTCTGTACCTAAAATGGTATTTGTGATATAGATTCATAGACTGAGTTTTTTTTTATTTTTTTATTTCTTCCATCTGCCGTAGTCTTTTTTGAAACAACATCTTTAATCTTTCTCCCTCTCGTTGCAGGTTGGTCGTTAGGAGAACATGGTGAATGGGCTAAATACTCAAATTTTGATGTGGCGACACGTGTCCCTCTTATCTTTTACGTTCCTGGTGTCACCACACTTCATGATTGGCTGGGAGAGTCTGCTTTCCCCTTTATTGATGTCTTAACCAAATCAAACTACAGCTTTCAGAGTAAGACTCTTCACTGACAACAAATTACTGCTGATAACCTGAAACATGCATATTTCTCCTTTTTTAAAAGCAGCATGAATGTCAAGTCAAAGGGAACTCAATTTTGATTTAAAAAGTTTTGCTTTTAATTGCTCACATAAACCTTGTTAGAACATATATTAATATGCCAACTTGACTTTAATGAAGTCTTTGATATACATTGAGAAATTCAGAAGTATTTAGACAAGGATACACTTTGATATTTTGCCTCCAGACAGTTTTTGCTTCAAATGCAAATGGTGCAATGATGATGAAACCTCAGTGCAGGGTGTCTAGTAAAATTTAGTTGATATCTTGACTCTTTTGCTCTTGGTGGTTAAATAATTTTCTCTAACTGGCTGATCCTTCATCCTTACAGATGCCAGAGTTATAAGGAACGTGGTGGAGTTGGTGGATGTTTTTCCTACAGTCTCCTACATGGCTGGCCTCAGAGCACCTGAACCTTGTGCTGATGTTTCTTTCCAGGTATCAAGAGATGAAAATTAACACATCTGTCCAATGGTAGTAGTTTTCAGAGAGGAGGGACATGTGATCACTGCTTGATTGTTTTTTTTTTTTTTTTATTTTGTCTCAACTCTGATGACAAAGTTTGCTGTGTTGCATTTATTATTGGCATGGCTGCAGTGAGGACAGTGCTGGTTGGTTCACCCCTTTGGTGGAACATCTCAACTGTTGGATGGTTGCTGTGAAACTGAATGATGAATCCTAATGACTCTGGTGATCCTTGAGGTTTAATATTCATAGTTTTACATTATACCTGCTATACATCAGCATGTCTGCATTTTTATTGTGGGAATTGTTGGTCAGCATGCTGATGTTAGTGTTTAGCTTAAAGCACTGCTGGCCCTAATCCAGTGTTCATGTCATGTTATTCAGGATGTAGTTACACGTTTGAGCATCTGAGTGGGAAACAAACTCTGACTTAAATTTCATAGTCTGAGATAATGGGAAGTTCTGACGAGTATGATATCATCCACTTGGTGAAAAGTATTCAATGTCATCAAATCTCTGGCAACATCACTGATAGTTTAAATAAAATCAAGTATTAACACTAATAGAATCACTTCAGCTGATTTTGAAAAAGGACATTTATTTAGTTTCCCTTGTTAATAAACTTCTACAAAAATGTGACACATTAAAAAGGCCAATATAAGTATAAGAGTTTTATACTGTTTAACTAGTTTAGTGGTGGAGGTTATGGTCTTGTAATAATTCATGAATCTGCTAACGTCAGTGTGTCACCATTGTTTTTGTGAGCGTGTTAGCATGCTGATATTTGCATTTAGCTCAAAGCACCAGTTTGCCTAAGTACAGCTTCACAGAGCTGCTAACATGGCTGTAGACGTGGTTTTGTTTGTTTAACCAATTACTCATTACCTACAGTGAATTACAAACTGTTATAGTAAAAGTGCACAAAAATACTGCAATCAAAAGTACGTCATTTACCTCAGATTACATTCTTGTTTTCTAATAATTGCAACACCAGAACAGAGCTGAGACCTTTCAGGCATCTTTGTACAGTACATGGCCAAACAAAATGAATCAAGAGGTAAACCCTCCATAAACATGGCCAACATGAAGGTGACCTAATTGGCTCTGACATTTATTTCCTTGACTCTTCAGTCTGTTTTCTTGCTTTCAGGAGGAGCTGTGTACAGAGGGAGACAACCTGGCCCACACTTTCCGACACAGAGAAAGGGGAGAGGATGAGGAGGCGATATCTTTTAGCCAGTACCCTCGACCTGCTGATGCACCACAGGTATCAGAAGCTGAGTGTTTATAAAAGCCAATTAAAAAGCTTTCATGAGCTGGCTAAAGGGTAAATCATTATAGTTCTGTATCAGTCAGGAAGCGTCACACCAAGCAGGCGTATTTCTAATACAAACATTATTATAGTTTTGTATCAGTCAGGAAGCAGACGTATTATTAATACCAATGTGCCACACCAATACTTTTAATGAATAGATTCTGACGTTGCATTTAAAATGTCAAAACTTGTGTGAAGGTCATGAAAACTGAAGTCATATTGAATGAGTATTTACATGACTGTCGCTACACTGTCGCTCTTTGAACCGCTCCTGTTTGTAGCGGAGCTGCCAGCTTCAGGCACATGATCTTTGAATTAAAATATCCAGATGAGTGCTGCACCTGCTGCAGGTTAATCTTTGTACGGACCAGCTTGGCAGCCTGACATTAGCTTGTCGGCTGGCTCGCAGGATGAGTTGGCAGCTGCGGATTTGACAGCACTGCAGAAAGATTGCTACAGTTTTTTTTTTTTTTTTTTTTTTTTTTTTTTTTGCTCATTTTAAGATGCTTTCAAAGTTGACTGTTCTTCTATTAGGTGAACTCTGACCTCCCTGACCTTAAAGACATAAAGGTCATGGGTTACTCTCTACGCTCCTGGGACTATAGATACACTCTCTGGCTGGGGTTCAACCCTAAAACATTTCAGGTAGGTGTATAACATACCTCCACAGCATGACAGTTATCTCTCTTGTCTGTCTCTTCATATTGTTCTCCTCTGTGATTGTATCAGCTTCAGACTGGGGAGTTGTGTGTGTGTGTGTATGTGTGTGTATGTGTATGTGTGTGTGATGGATCCATCCATCTTGTCTGGCACAATATGTTGACATTGTCCATGACGGTAACAAATTATATTTGTCCATCATCCATCTGTCTCTCCACATAGGTGAATGTTTCTGATGTCCATGCTGGAGAGCTGTACATGTTAGCAGACGACCCCGGCCAGGACAATAACGTCTACAGTGACTCTGATCACAGTGTGATAATGAAGAAGATGGCCAGTCTGCCTCATGTAAGTTTGAACTCATTTTAGAAACGGACTCATTTTTCATTTCTTGCTTTATTCATTTACTTGTTTACTACCTTTCTGACTCGTCTAGACTGTGAGTCTGCAGATGAGAATGAAGCTGCAGCTCCTCTACCTCACAGCAGGGATGAAAACGAAGAGAGGGAAGGCGTGATGACGGGAATAAAGTACAACAGATGGACGGACAGGGACAAGTACAAAGGGAAGACAGATGGATGAAAAACCTTAAAAAGGGAGAATGCCTTGAATCTTTCTTTTAATATAATGCATACTTGATTCAGTAATCTCTGGTATCACCATTAATCTTTCAAGCTCAGCTCTTCAGGCTAATGTTCCATGTTCAGAGCTCATTGGCAGACAGACCTGGATTCAACACGAGCGAAGTGAATAAAAAAAACGCTTGTGCTGTTAGTTTGAAGACTTTTCACCCTTTGATTTTTGACGAAGAGAAAAATCCACATGTGCAGAAACTTGTGACTGGTTTCATCCTCCTCCGGCTAAACAGAACTTCCAGTGTTTTCAGTGACTGGCCTTTTTACACCTGCCATTCACATCTGTAATTACTGACTTGCATGGAGGAAATGTCAGTCTGATTTTGAATGGCTCAAATTTTAGGAGTAGGGGAGATTTCTGATTATCTACGGTAGTTAATAGAATGGTTTGACATTTTGGAAAATACACTCATTCGCTCTCTATTCAAGAGTGAGATGAGAAGATTAATATCACTCACGTCTGTATGCTAAATATGAAGCTAGAACCAACAGCTAGTTAGATTAGCTTAGCATAAAGAAAAAGCAGAAAAGTGAAAACATGTCCAGTTTCTAGGAAATTGCTACGCTTCTTTCAGCACGCAACTCCCTGTAAATCAAAACATTTACATTTCAGCGTTATGTACAGATTTAATAACTGATAACCGTATTAATTAGTAGAATTTAGAGATGGACATCTTAAATTTTGGACAGAGCCATGCTAGCTGTTTCCCTCCTGGTTTCAGTCTGTATGCAGAGCTAATTGTTAGATGGGTCATATTTAGCGTACACACGTGAGTGATATAGATCCTCTAGTCTAACTGTCAAATCTCAATAAGGAAAAAAAAAATCATGTATTACCCAAAATGTTGAACTGTTCCTTTAACTCATCGAATTCACAAGCGCACAGACGCCTGAGCAGCTGAACCACTTTCCAGGCAACTTTACAAAACAAACATTAGGATGCATGGACTCTTGATGGACAGCTCTGTTGGGCTGTGAGTTCACTACCTCCTCTGTGAGTTATTACATCACATTTTACAAGCTGTTATCTGATGGGAAGACTTCTCATCTGGAGGAAGATTGAGGAAACCTGAAGAATTAGCTCTTTTGATTAATAGCGACACCAGTTTCCCTTTTTGGAACGAGTGCTCTTCACTGGGCTATTGATCATTCAGTCTGCTTCAGGTGTAGTCTCCACTTTGAACTACAACAGCTAAAAAGGACTTGCAGTTTTGTACTGTAGTGTTGAGCAAAATGACATTTCTATTTGTTGTTGATGTTACTTGCAGCTATTTGCCTCTCTCCTTGTAAACAGTCAGTTCAGATCAATTTGTGGGCCTGAAATGAAGTGTGTAAAAGCTACCCATACTAATTCAATGCAAATGAAACTGAGTATTTTAGTGCTGTTCCAATGCATGAACATTTCGTGCTGTGGTAATTTAGAAGAAAGCTATTTCAGCTTGAATTCCAGGTTCAGCAATGAATCAAAGGGATTTGGTTTGACAACTTTTATTGTAGGCTGCTCTGGCTTCATGTTAATGGGATACAGTTGAATCGTGTAATCAGTGGGGCTCTATCATATGTCAGGATGCTGAAGGAAAGAAATGTTTCTTGTCATCAAACGGTGCAAATCATCATTCAGAGAATTTTATTTCCTTCCAGGTTGGCTTCATTGCATTTGTGGCAATTTTTCCAGTGGTTTGCTTTTGTTCCTGTGTCCTCTAACATACTAATCTCTCGAAAAATGAATATAATCAGTATTATGTATTGTCCATGCAGATACCGACCATGGAGAAATGAAGTTGAGCCTTCCTTGAGTTTGTTTGCGTCAGAGCATCCGTCAGCTTGAGCTCCAGCTTTCTGAAGGGAAAATGAAAAATAAATGCTGTAGAAATAATTCAACTCTTGAGCTTGGCAAGGACACGTTAATATATTTATGTCAGTTTTGATTGGTTTGTAATAAAATATTTTTGTACAATGCACACAGAAAAAGTTGTGTGTGCTTTTTGGGAAAAAAAAAAAAATATATATATATATATATTTTTAATAGTTTATATTTTTTATTTTTTTTTTTTATCTCACAACCTCCTCTAGTGTGTTTGTCTGTATTCCTGTATGACCTGCAGAAACTCAGCACACTTACCGCCTGTCCACACTCCCCACCGCTCTGTTTTAATACCTTTTGTGCTCACCCACAGCAGAAGTGTAAAGCTGCAGAGTAGCGAGGGAGCTCCTCAGGGACCTCAACAGTCTATTGGGTGTGTTTTCTCCTTCCTCCCCTCTGTCTTTCTCTCCTCTGGAGCAGAGGATGCATACGCCTGCTCTCTGGCTCTGGAAGAATTTGGACCAAACTGAACATCCGCTAATTTGTGCACGATTCCACAGAGTCAATCTGTCTGGGCAACGCAAACGGTTAAAAGCCTTGTAATTGCATTTTGAAATAAAGAATGAATTCAGTCTCATGCTTTTGAAAAAAAAAAATTTTTTCTTTTTTTTTTTAGGTTTCAATTTCCAAGCAATCATGCAGAGCGATGTGTAGAAGTCAGGTTGAAGTGAAGTCTGTATGCTACAAATGAAAAGTCAAAATTTCCCCAAGACCAGGGAAGCACTTGACATCTCTCCATTACCTCTTTCACCTTTTCTAATAATTTCCTCTCCCCATTTCATTCCAGTTCCCTCTCGCCTCTGTCCTTTGCACATATCAATATTCAGATTAGACCCGAGAGTTGCAATTTTACATTTCTTTACATTCTAGTTGTAACTGTATCATTAAAATGGGCATTGAATGATCACATTGAATACAAATGTGGACAGAAGCAGCATCTGACTCTTAGCCACCTATTATATATCAAAAAGTTGTTGTGCTAATGTTGTAATTAGGGAAGAAATGCATTTAACACATCTCTTACAACTCAGGAATTCAAACAGTGTTGGTACGAAACACCGAATGTAAACATAACTTTTGTTTGTTCACAAAAAAACATGGAAACCCTTTAATTTACAGGCCGTCAATTATGTAGTAATTAAGCAGTAATTCTGTAGTAATGTGAAGAAATTGCCAAGAAATAATAGTCAAGTAAAGTCAGAAAAATGCCAAGTTGTAGTAGTATAATTACTGGGAATTACTGTAAAATATAGGATAATTATTAAGTAAAATTGAGGCAGAATAAAGAGGGTTGGTTGGTAATTATAAGGGAATTGTTATAGTAAGTAGTATATCCCACATACAGGGTAAGACAGGAGGGTTGTTTCTGTATATGCTACCATTAATATCTATAGCACTGATATCCCTTAATGCATTGTGAAGACAGGCTGAAGACAGGTGATACCAAGTCTCATATTTTAACCGTCAGCATGTCTACATTGTTGTCTCCCATCCCATCGTCATTACCACGTAATTACTACATATTTAACGGCCTGTAAATTAAAGGGTTACTGAAAACATCAGAGGGCAGGTTTAAGTTAATGTTGCTGGCCACTTGAATGCAAGGCCACTCAATATTCACTCTTCTTTTAGCTTTGTTTCAGTCTCCAGGAACGCTGAGTAGTAGCTAACTCTGTCTACCATTAGTTTGTGGGCAGGTAGTGTACACTGGATTTTCAGTTTATTTCTTCATGAAAGCAGTGAGAGAAAAAAAATGAAAAGTTGGGGAGTCTGAAACCAAAACAATGGGCTGAAAGATGCTAAAACACAAGGAAGAAAGGAGGATTACACACACATCATGAAAATGAAAACTATATTAATATTTGCAGCTTTAAGTAACCACTCCTGGAACATTTCGGGGGTTGGTGCCTTTCCCGTGGGCAGCTCAGCAGCCCCCCACCAGCCTCGGTTTCATGTTCGTGTTTTCAAAGTGAGTGTGAGTCAGCGCAGCTGTAACCACTCTCCTCTATTCTGCCTGTATTCATGTCAGCTCATATTTCTGCCTCAGTGGTTTTATCAAATCAATATTTATCATCACAAGCAGGGATCTCTGACCACGATCAAATTGATCTAATGGCAATTACATTACTGTTTACCTGCTGTTTCCCCCCCTGTTTCTGTGCTGCTGCCCTTTCTTTTTGTCGCTCCATCTTACCTGCTCTTTCTCTCCAATCCACTCTGACTTTGTCTCACTCACATCGTCTATCATTATGTTTCATATGCCGGTAATCACATTACTGCTATGGGCTCATATTCTGGCAGGTCACACTGCCTTTCTGTTAACGTTGGCGACATACACAATTACATTAGACAGAGGGAGAGTGTGTGTATGTGTGTAAAAAAACTGCTTGGCTCAGCTGCATCATCATTGGAGTTTGTCTCAAGTGTGTGTGTGTGTGTGTGTGTGTTTATGTTTACTGAGTGTGAATGAATACAAGAATAGTAAACAAACTGTACTGTCCTCTGCCTCCCAAGGACTTGAAGAAGTGGTTTTAAAGTATTTTCTGCTCTTCAACACCCAAATTAATTTCATAGACCAGGCTGTCTTCTTTTGAGGCTACTAAGCTGCTTACAGTGTTTTATCTGGCTAATTTTACACTGTAGAGACTCGGAGGAAAGCTATAGTAGGTTAACACTCAAGAAACTTTATTTCACAATAATGGACTGAGACACAATTACACTCTGCATTTCAGTGTGAATATAATTGGAACAATAAAAGCCACTGTGACCTATTCTACAATGTCATGGCTGATATAGAAAAATCAAGTGTGGGGTTTTTAAACAGGCATTGGATGGGTGGTGCATTAGTCCACAGTATGATGAGGTATCTGACAGAATAAATGATTGAGTATTGAAGATAAAATCATACAACACCTTAACATGATTCTGACATTATGTTATATTTTACCTTTAGAAGCTGTTCTGCACTATTACCACTGACAAGTTACAATATAGTCTCATTACTGCTGCACTAAACAGACATGCTTCATGTTGTTGCACATGACATTAAAAGGCAATAAATCATGTGACCTTACCTACTTATGTTATTATTTATTTTAGAATATAGCATGAAATATATAATCTTTATCGTTAACACTTTAAGGATGAAGGATGTAGTCCTAAATGGATACTATTATAATTATAGAAATTATTATCATAATGATAAATAAAACAAAAAATAAGTAAATTTTCCATTTTGGGAAATTCCCATATTTGCTTTCTTTCCAGAAAAGAAATCAATAGGCTACCATTTTCATGTATGCTAAATAGCTAGGACCAGGGGGTGAATTGCCTAGCTAAGCAGAAAAATATGAATCAGGTGGAAACAGCTTTAGCACCTCATAACCTCACAGATTTACTTTATATCTTGTTTGTTTAATCCACACACAAATGGCAATATAAAAAGGACAATACAACTGTGTAACTGTAACTAACATTAGCATCTTAGCATTAGCAAGGTTTGGAAAAAATAGAAGGTGATCCAACTCAATGTTGCTGTTAAATGCTAATGTGTTGTTAAGGATTAGCCAGGTGTATATACTTACATTGTGTTTA